GGAAGGGAGTATCAAGGGAAACTGTATTTTTAACTTTTTTGCTAATTGGAGTCGGGAATGATAAAAGTTATTTCAGAAGGCGCCTCAACACTTAGAAAGCTGTCTGTATTTCATCCCTTAGCTGTAAGCATGACAGACTTGCATTTCGGTATCGAGGACGAGGCAAATATCAATGCTTGGTACCTGGACAGTAGAAGATGGTGCGCTTATATAGTGATAAAGGCAGGTAAAAACATGGTCTCTACAGCAACTGAACAAAGTTAAATCGTGGAATGTTCGCTGCAATGTGGGGAGAAAGTGGCATAGTAAAACTCCTCCAGTACTGCTGCCACAGAAGTCCCGCGAAAAGCCGGCAGAAATTGAAATAGGAGCAACAGAGTAGAATGTATTTGTATGGCATACACAGTGAATAACTGACGGAATTGTTAAAGCCATTTATTTGAGGGAATTAAATGCTCGTTGTAATTTCGGGTTAAAGATTGGTACTAAAGTTCTTTTTCAGCCCATTAAAAACTAGGCTAGGTTGCTTGAGTTGAATTCCTGCAGATTTGTTGGCCACGAGAAGCTAAATTCAGCCACGAAGACGCAAAATCTATCTCGAAGGGAGCAAAAATCAGTCCGGAGGCGCTAAGAACATCGAATTAAAATTTGATCTTAATCTCTCCATTCCTTCCTCCTTAGGGGCCCTCTTCTCCACTTTTCCTAAGCCTCACCCTAAAAGCGCCCAATTAAATGAGACTAGAAATGAAGAAAGATTCCCCTATCTCACCCACCCTCCATTCCCCTCCCTCCGCGCCCCCTTTCACATTTAGTCCCATTTTGCCTAAGTATGCTTTATTCCTTTTCATTGAAATTAAAGGCTCCACCGGAAATAATAAATGTTTAAAAGAGAAAACTTTGAAGCAATCAATTGTACCTGCTCTGACAGATAAAACCGGTCCTCTTCTGACGGTTCGGGAAGGAGAAGTGGTAAGAGGGGGTGTAGGTTGCGGACAAGCAGTGATGAATTTGACATCAAAGCGGAAAAAATTCTTCTGAAACTCGCAACTTAAGCACTGCAGAGCTTTGTCTTCTTTCAAATTATTTAATTTTTTATCACTAATTGTTCAAAAAAAAGCGAAATTCAGTGGACGCTGGAATTTCCTTATTTTCTTTTGCTCTTCAGCAAATTTTGCTTTTATTTCCTAATTATACGTGCTGTAGAAGTATACATTTTGCTCACTGAGATCCAGTTATGGTGCTGAAATGGAATGTGTACGGCTAACGAGCTGAAGTATTCCCTTGTAGTTATATTCCATACCAGTATGGATTTGACGATTAATGTGGATTTAATGTATGTATTAAAATATGTAAATTAGACTTCACATAAAAATCAGAATCATTTTTATAAAAAATATTTTTAAATCAAACAATATATTTTAGACATCAGATTTGATCTATATTTTCAAACCAGTCAACCTTCCTTTGTAT